ATCTCTGAAACAATTAAACGTTCATCCCAGTTTCACTCATTGGTGAAACAATCAAGTGGACTAGTTAACAGTCACCGACAGAATCATGAGAAGCACTTCAGCCTTTCAAACAAAAGTTTATTTTACAAGTTACCGAACAAAAACCCTCACTTTTTCTTTTTAATCACAGTCAGGTAGAAATAAAATAAATTACAGGGAGAGGAGTTTTATGGCGTAAAACCACATCTTATGAGTCCAGTTTTCAACACTGGTTATGGTTTTCAATCAACAACAACTTTTATTTATATAGCACCTCGCTTTCAATCATATTATCACACAGACACTCATGCAAAGTTTTGCAGCCTAAACACTTTTAAAGCGTTTCAACTTGTTTCAACTATGATAAAATTGCCCTTTCTCAATAAATCCCTAATGAATAATGAACTGCAAGGCTTCACAGTGTTACGAACTTATAATTAGGTTAGCACTGCACTCATTCCCTCATTGTATAATTAGTCTCACAACTGCTCTGCATTCCATAAATGAAAACAATATGTAACAGAGGTGGCACAATAAACAGAATTCAAATTTTTTAAGATAAACTGCAGTGTTTTCCCAGTGATTGTCATATTATGCTCATCAGCACTTTCAGTTTCTCATTTGAAAGAATGAAGAGTACGTACATGAATAAGTGTTCACTTTGCTGTGTAGTAAGCTGGCAGCTACACTCAGAACAATTCAATTTACAATTACACTGCTATAAAAGTCATAGTAGCTCCTTTTTTATTTCATTGATAATCCTACTACATTTTACAGCTATTATAAATGAATCATTCTTTCAGGCCAAAAGGTGTAAAAACACATTAATTAAACAGGATGGCAAAAAGGAAAACGGCAACACTGCACTGTACAAGATTGAAAATGTCAAATCATATTTTAAAAATACTGAGTCAAAACTATGTTTTAATCCTCGAAATGTTGATAATCCTAATATAATCCAAGGTGAAAACAACAGTTAAAAGTGTTCACAGCTCAAGCAATTACAGCTCTGAAGTTATAAGCAGAACCATAGACACCACAACATATCAGGATGGGTGAATGTTACCTGGATACATGATTGCGAGGAGAGGTGGTCATGCCTTTAAGAATAGGGCCTTCTGATTTGGACACTGGTCAGCGAAAAGAGTGTGTGACCTTGCATGAAAAAGCTAAGGAACCCCAAATGACAGGAGTGCAGGAGCCTTAGCCTTTGAATTTATCCAAAAGGTTTGAGGTAGCTCCAGCTTGTTTCAATAAAAGAGAGGTAAATTACTACATCGCTGTAGTGCAGAAAGCTATTCAAGTAGGGGAGAGCAAAAAGGAATGTCGTGGTAGTTAGGAGGCAGTGTGGTGAGGATTGACACGGTTCTCTACAGCAAAGAATCAGAGGCAAAAGGCTGTGCTGCCTGCCCAATGCCATGGTTTAAGGCATCTGCTCACGGCTGGATAGGAACTTTCAGTGGGAGAGGGAGAATCCATTATCCTGGGCTAAGTAGGTACTGATGACAAAAGTAGGAAAAGGAAAGAGGTTCTGCATAATTAGGGTAAGGAACAAGGCATAAAATTAAGCAGAACCACAAAGGTTCTGTTATCATTGGACCATTACCTGAGCTACATGCATAGGGAGTACAAAATTAGGTAAAAATGCATGGCTCACAAACTAGTCCAGTACAATGGGTTCTGGTTTGGGGGCAATGCCACCATACCATGGAAAGTTGGGGATGAATCATTGGAATAGTCTGTATCTGAACCATGCTGGGACCAGTATTCTAAACAGTCACATAGCTAAGAAAGTAGAAAGGGTTTTAAACTAAGTAGTGGGGGCAAGGGATCGAATTTGGGAAGGTGTGATAAATCAGAAAGTTGAGACCAGGTGAGAGAAAATGGTACTAATGTGGAAAATGATAAACAGATTGTGGTAGGAAGTGGTTGAAAGGACAAATCTAACAGCAAATCAACAGATAAGGCTAGAGGTTACAAAAATAATATAAAACTAAAGACTATATATCTGAACACACATAGCATTTGAAACTAAACAGGTAAACTGAGCATGCAAAAAGAAATAAATGTACAGACATAAAGGATGATATAAATTGGGACATGAATACTGAAAGGTGTATGATATTTTGGGAAGGACAGGAAAAGGAGGAAAGGCGGTTCTGTTAATTAATGATGGCGCTCGCACAGTACAGAGGAATTGACCCAAGTTCAGGAAATCATAATGTGGAGGTACAAAAACAAAGTTGCTGGAAGAGCTCAGCAGGTCTGGCAGCATCTGTGAAAGAAAAAAGAGTTAACGCACCGGACCTGAAACGTTAACTCTGTTTTTCCTTCACAGATGCTGCCAGACTTGCTAAGCTTTTCCAGCAACTTTCTTCTTGTTCCTGATTTACAGCATCCGCAGTTCTTTCAGTTTTTATTTAGAATGTGGAGGTAGTTTTGGTACAAATGAGAAACGATAAAGGCAAGTCGTCACTTGTGGGAGTGATGCATAGGCCATCTAACAGTAACCACATGGTAAGTTAGAGTGTAAAGGAAGAAATCGTCTTTAAGAAAGATACAGTAATAATCATATGGGAGTTTTAATCTAAATAGATAACTAATGGGCAAAGATAGCCTAGGTGAGGAATTTTTTGGCATTTGGGCATTTCTGGCTGGGCCAGCATTTATTGCCCATCCCTTTTTGCCCTTGAGACAATCAGCCTTACATTGGTGGTGGATAAGTTGTTCTAGGGGATTCTGAGGAACAGGATTTACATGCATTTGGAAAGGCAAAGATTAATTAGGGATAGTCAATATGGCTTTATGTGTGGGAAATTGTGACTCACTAACTCAATCGAGGTTTTGAAGAGGTGACAAAGAAGATTGATGAAGGCACAGCGGTAAACATTGTCTACGTGGACTGCAGCGCAGCATTCAACAAGGTTCCACATGGTAAACTGGTTAGTAAAGTTAGATCACATGGGATCCAGGGGAGCTAGCCAAGTGGATGCAAAATTGGCTGGAAGGTAGGAGGCAGAGGGTGGTAGTACAGGGTTGCTTTTCAGACTAGAGTCCTGTGACCAGATGTGTGCCACAAGGATCGGTGCTGGGTCCACTGCTTTCCAACATTTATATAAATGATTTGGATGTGAATATAGGAGGCATGGTTAGCAAGTTTGCAGACGGCACCAAAACAGGTAGTGTAGTGGACAGTGAAGAAGATTACCTCAGAGTACAACGGAACCTTGATCAGATGGGCCAATGGCCTGAGGAGTGACAGATGGAGTTTAATTTAAATAAATGTGAGGTAATGTATTTTGGTAAGGTAAACCAGGACAGGGCTGATACAATTAATAGTAGAGCCCTGGCAAATGCAGGGGCAGGTCAGAAAATTGGACAGAATATTTTTTTTAAGAATTCAAAGAATGACCAAAAATTTATCAGGTGGAGAAAAGTTAAAATTTGAGAGGAAACCAGCTAGGAGTATAAAAATAAAGTGAGAGTTTCTGAAGTTATTTACAAAGAGTGAGAGTCTGGGGAATTGATAATGGAAAATAAGGTGATAGCAGATGAATTGACATGTATTTGGCATTAGTCCTCAATGCAGAAGACACAAGTAACATCCTAGAATAGCTGAAACATGAAATGGAAGGAAGGGATGAACTCAAGAAAATTACAAAGACTAAATAAGTAGGACTGGTAAATCACTGGACCTGTGGGCTGAAAAGTGCCTGGGTCCTTATGGGCTTCATCCTGGGGTCTCCAAATCAAAATTCATTTGATTTGGGAAAGGTTTCATGAGATGGCTAACTAGCGAACGTAACTCCTTTATTAAAAAATGGAGGCAAACAAAGCAGGGACTATAGGCCAATTAACTTAACATCTATCATAGGGAAAGCATTATAAGCTATTATTATTTAGATGTTACAGAATGGCACTTAGAAAAGTTCAAGGTATTCAGGTAATTAACATGGTTTTTTGAAAGAATATCATATATAATTAACTGAA